AGCTAATAGTATTGACTGAAAAATTATAAAGATTTCCATTTTTACTTTATGGAAACCATTTTCTTCTACACCTTTGAAAACCTATGGGCTGTTACAAATAGCCTTCATAAATCAGCAACTTCAGTTTTAGCTCTGACACAAGGTTTTTCAGCCAGTCCTGCAGTCCCTGCACCTACTGCTTGACATTGACAGGATTCTTGTCAAAACCTGGGTTTTGCATAAATTAGTGTTTAACCCTAGACAAACTTCTTCTCCCTTACTTCAGTGCAGTTTGTAAGACTGTCATGTCCTTCAGAAACAACGAAAGTGAAATCTGACTATAGTATCAGACATTTTATACTCTAAAGAAAGAAGTCTATAAACTGTTAGAAAACCATGAACTGTCTTTTTGATTTATCATTGAGTCTTAATAAGCCTCACCTTACAAATTGCTATGCAATATCGGCATTATCACTTATAGTGCACTTTCCCTTTCTTCTAGTTCAGGGGACCTGTTTTGTTTATTTTTAAATACACAACTAACATTTATGAGGTAGTTAAACTGCACAAAGGGGAACAACCTCAATCTTATGGATGAACTTAGAATTTTAAAAATTAATTACTTTACTTAGTATATATATATATATATATATATATATATATACATATTTGAAAAACTCAAGAAAATATTTGGCTCTGTAACACAGAATTTACATGCTTTCCTATCTTGTTCATCTGTCATTGTTCCAACCATGACTGAATGGCACAGGTGAACTAGCTTCATTTTTGGACAAGAAGAACATGGCATTTAATATGATCATACATTTATTATATTGTTCCTTTGTGTAAGATGATGAACAAATTATTCTCCAAAAAGTATATAATCTGTTCCCCCAACCTTCGATGAGCATCTTAAATGTTTCAGGTGTGAAATTACAGGTGATTAAAGCATGATTCCTAGATTTCAGCAAACCTAAAAATAGAATCATGTAGCAAAATATTTAGTTGTCTTAATTGTATCAGGTGATACATACTGTATAATTTTCCTTTACCTAAGTTGATGGAAATAAGTTTATATCTCTTATATTTTTGGAGAAAACCTTTTTGATACCTTTTTCTTTCTTTAGTCATCTAAAGTGATTGTGAAGGATTCCTAAGCTGGGAAAAATATTTTTTGTTTTTTAAAAAAGGAAGTTAAGTAAATCTTCACATACTGAACACTTTTAAATAGAGTGGGAATCCATAAATTTAAGCCGACTTAGTGAAGGCTATATAGATAGTAATGAGATGATATTACTTCTCTGTGAACTTATTGAAGTAAAGCTATAACAATGGTTGAGAATGTGAGGACTGGCGTTCCTTCTGTTCAACAGGGTTACAGTTTGGAACACTTATTGTGTGCCAGGCACCAGGTATATTTCCTGTTATACATTAATATCTACAGGATCCCTATGGAATAAATGCTAGTACCCTCATTTTACATACCAGGAAAACCACAAATGCAGATTCAGAGCTGATAAGTAATTTGCCTAAAATCTTTGAGCTAGGAGGTTCAGAGCTTATGTTTAGGCTTTGTACTTGCTGACACTGTAGATCCTACACTTAACATATAAATAGAAATAAATGAAACAACCTACCTGAGAATTTTTTTGTGTGAGTTTGATGAAATGATATACCTAAGAATGTTCAGCATAGCAGTATGTTTTTTCTTAATATGTGATAGATTGTTCTGATAAAGTGTCTTTCAGCCATTTAGTTTAATCAATCTTAGTTCTCACAATTGAAGATATATATGAATAGAGATCAGCTGATATTTCTCAAGGGGCTAGAAACTATTTTACAAAGGGTAGAAAATAAACCAATCTATGCCTTTACATCTACTATTCCAATATTATTATAGTTTAATCTTAGACTCTTATTACCTTCTAAATTTCACTTGGAAATAGTTCCATGATTAAGGTACTTTTATACTACCCATCTAGATGGTAGCCTTTCAGATGACTGTCCTCTAACTTCTACTCACTCTGCTAAAATAAAGAATAATAAATTATCAAAATAACTTGTGAGAAATATATAATGTTACAAGTTATTCAGGCCTAGTCACGTATGGGGTAGTGCACTTGCCTAGCATGCGTGAGGCACTAGGTTTGATTCTCAGCACCACATACAAATAAGTGAAAATAAAAACTCCATCAACAACTAAAAAATATTTTTAAAAGTTATTCAGATATGCATAAGATGATACTGTGCCAAAGTAATATCTTTCATTAGTGCACAGACTTCAATGGCACTTAAATTTAGAACTTTGTATTTAGGCTGAGAAAATAGTTCTCTACAAATATATAATGAAATAGACCTGGGAATAAGTTGTAGGAATTTTACTTAATGGCAAGCACAATATGAATGAATACTAATTAAAGAACTGATAAAAACATTAAAGCAATTGCCTAATAGATTTGTATATTGCCTAGGGAAGAACCATCCCCGTGAGAAATACATGTTAGTATTATGTTCTAGGCAGGCCATATTTAGAATATTATTCTGAGTTCTAAATTTTGTGGAATAGTAAATACTAAACTGTATAAGAGATGATCAAAATGATATAGGTATTGGGAATAAAGATATTTGATAAATATTCTTATTAATAGAATAAGGAGAGGTATTATATTTGCCTTTAAATAATTTAAATACTTTTATAAAATAGAGGAAATAGACTCAACTGGAAATGTAGGAAGAATTTCTAGAAATGCAGATATATTGTAGTGAAGGATGCAGAGCAGTGGAACTGGCTACCAAGGAAGTTTAAGCTCACTTCAGCACAGTTATTTGAAAAAGGCAGAACTAGCATTTGTATGATACAGTAGAGGAGTCTTGTACTGAAGAGATCAGATCAGATTAGTGACTCCTGGGAGTATCTAAAATGATAATTTTATTAGCTGGCCTAATAATTGATAAAAGTATTTTAACATTTTTAGTGTATCAATAAAGAAAAATAATTAGTTTGTTATACAAGCATTATTAGTATGGGTAGTTGGACATAAATTGGCAATTAAATGTGATAGTGATGTTTCTTATATTGGAGCTTTACCTGCTTTCAAGTTTGAATTTTTCGTTCTTTTTCTGTCAGACTTATATTCTGAATTCTTAATAAAGAAGCAAAACTACCACAAATTATTTTACTTCTGTATAATTTGGTATTTCAATTTTTTTATAAGCATATCAAGCATTTTATCTCAGTTTTCTCCTCTGCATTCCAACCCTCAGTATGTTTTAAAACCAAAGAGCTGGCTTGTATTTTATCAATTTGACATGAATATTTTTCTTCTAATTCAGTTTTTAAAATATGAATTACAGATCACTGTAGCATACCATATCTATCTGTCTCAGTTGGTCAGTGAGATAAAATGCATGGGGCTGACTCTTTTAGAATCAAAGACAGTCTGGCATTATGATATAGTAATTATTACTTTTAGAGAAAGAATTTAGTTAACCCATCTTAAGTTATGTTAGCCAATTTAAGATGTTAAAAATGATAAAGTTAACCACTTGTAATTAGTGCTCATCTATCTTAATCATAAAATATCCTAATGCATATTTACTCAACTAGCATATCGAGGATGCCACTGCTTTTGCAAAGATAAATTATGGACACTGACTTGAAAACATATCAACAGACATAGATAGGTATATATATTTTCCACTATTAATCATTATTGCTATACTTGCACTTTTTTTTAATATTGTTTTTAACCTGTTCCTTTTCACAGCATTTACTAAAATTTTAAGTGTATGGACTGAAGATGTTTAAAGAGATTAATCTTGTTAATTTATTTTAACTTCGCCTTTAAATATTCATCTTTATGTGAATAGTGTCTATAACTTTTTCTGATCATTTTCAGTCATGTTCCTCTGTTAGTTTCCTTATTCCTTTTGTTTTCTTTGTCCTTTTTGCTCTATAATTAAAAAGAAAAAAAGGTTGCCTTACCCCAAAACCAAAAAGAGTGGTAACAGAAGATTGAATTATAATGTGAAATTATTAGCTTTTGTGTGCAATTTTTGGACCTCTAAAGAAATAAAAGACAGGTGGCTAGAACCTTTTCCTTTGCATTGGCTCTTCCATTTTCTCCAAAGACTTTTTCACTTTCTTTTTCTGCACAAAGCAACTGGGGAATGATGTTAACAGGGAGCTAAGTACCTGATATTCAGCAGAATCTTTGAATCTAGATAGTTTAAGTGTAGGAGGCATGTATATTTTATTAACCTTAGGTTATTTAATTTAGAATAATAGCCAACATAGATCGCTTATTTGCTGAACTCTTTATTATCTCATATAATTTTCCTAGTGAATCTCTGAAGTCATGACTGTTTTCTATGTAGAAAAAAATAAGACAGGGAAGAGTAGATAAATACTTAAGTTGTGGTAGACTCTAAACTCAAACATGAATCTGATTTAAGAGACAGAGCTCTTAAATGCCAGTGCCATAATATAGTATCTCTCCAGAAATCTCCCAGCAGATTAATGTCTCTTAGGGGAGGAATATGCTTCCTACTCTGACTTCTGGAATGCTGGTAATCTATTTAACCTTTAGCTAAAACAAGCAGTGTATTTTAGAGAGGTACATATTTTTACAAGTGATATATTGATTCTTTGGTCTGCACTATAGGATTTTTAAAATAGTTGCAAATTTAATAAAATTTGCTTCATAAATCACAGCATCAGTCCCAGGGCTCTGTTTTCTGCCCCAAGAAGCAAGAGTTGGCCAAAGCTGGGCAGCTGTCACTGGAGAGGAATTTGGCTCAGAATTCGGGGCTGTGGAGGTGGCCAGTATGCCTTCAGGATAGCTGTAGCAGCAGGGCCAGGACAGTGGCTCATAGGCCAGAGGGAACACAGGGAATAAGGAGGCGATGCTGAGGCCAGGCCCCAAGGGCTGCATGATGCCCCAACCAATGGGTTCCTCAGTCCAGACTGGCCATGAGCAAATGCAGCTCTCACAAGGCATGGCTGGGAAGGTGCCCAGGCCCTATTTGCATCTAATCGGGTCGCTGAAGCTCGTGAGCTGATTGTAGGAGAGCCTGCACTTGTGTAGTCTCTCCTTATGACTCTTGTCTACACCCATGGAGAGTGGAGCTTCCAGAATGTCAGTGATCAGGGGCAGAAACCTCTGCAAGATCAGCTGGAGGGAGATGCAGCCTGTCTGGACATGGCGTTCATACTTGCTCTGCAGAAGCTTCTCAATTTGCTGCAGCACCGTGTTGCCCCAGTCCAGCTTCCAAAGGGAGGCTTTCTGGTTGAGGATGTTTAGGAGGTCCACTACCACTGACAGGTCACTGATGGCCACTGCAGAGTGTACTGATGTCTTGATATCTCCTGTGGCCCATATGACCTACAGTGTCTAGTTTCTTCTGGCAGCTAGTGAGTACCATACACATGGTCTCATGAGCTTTGTGGATATGGGACATGCCATTCTCATCCACCAGCTCTACCTGCTTGGGGAATCATGGTAAGCAGGAGGTCAGAGGTCTTCAATCCAAAGGGCTTCTTTATTTATTTAAAAAATTTTGTTTGTTTTCTTTTTTCATGACACCACTGTCATGATATGTATGTATTTTGACATATCATACATACAAAGAGTATACCTTCTCATTCTTGTCATTGTTCATGATGTGGAGTTACACTGGTAGAATATTCATATATGAACATAGGAAAGTTATGTCCAATTCATTCTACTGTCTTTCCCATTCCCATTCTCCCTACCTTCCCCCCATTATCCCTGTCCAATTCCATGAATCTCCACCCCCCCACCCACAAACTTATTGTGAGTTAGCATCCAATATCAGAGAAGAGAAAATATTTGGCCTTTGTTGTTTTGGGATTGGCTTATTAAATGCCATAATTTCATTCTTCTTGATGGCTGAGTAATATTGCATTGTGTATATGTATTACATTTTCTTTATCCACTCATCTATTAGAGGGCACCTAGGTTGGTTCCATAGCTTAACTATTGTGACTTGAGCTTCTATGAACATTGATATGGCCATATCCCTATGCTATGCTGATTTAAAGTCCTTTGGGTATATGCTGAGGAGTGGGATAACTGAGTCAAATGGTTGTTCCATTCCAAGTTTTCTAAGGAATCTCCATACTGCTTTCCAGAGAGGATGCACCAATTTGCAGTCCCACCAGAAATGTATGAGTATACCTTTTCCCCCACATCCTTGCCAACATTTATTGTTACTTGTATAATTGATAATTGCCATTCTGATTGGAGTGAGATGAAATATCAGTGTAGTTTTGATTTGCATTTCTCTAATTGCTAATGATGTTGACTATTCATATTTCTTCTTCTGTACAGTGTTCAGTTCAATTGCCCATTTATTGATTGGTATTATTTGATGTTTTTTGAGTTCTTTATATATACATATCCTCAAAATTAATGCTTTATCTGAGATGCAGGTGGCAAAGATTTTTTCCCATTCTGTAGGCTCTCTCTTTATGTTCTTGTTTCCTTTGCTATAAAGTCTTTATAATTTTGATGAAATCTCATTTATTTATTCATGATTTTACTTCTATTGATTTAGGAGTCTTATTGAGGAATTTGATTTCTAAGTTGACATGATAGAATTTTGGGCCTACTTTTTCTTCTAGTAGGTGCAGACTCTCAGGTCTAATGCTAGGTCCTCGATGCACTTAGGGTTGACTTTGTGCAGGGTGAGAGATAGGGGTCTAATTTAATTTTATTACATGTGGATGTCCAGGTTTCCTAGCACCATTTGTTGATGAGGCTGTCTTTTCTCCAATGTACCTTTATGGCACCTTTGTCTAGTATGAGATAACTGTTTATGTGGGTTCATTTCTGGGTCTTCAATTCTGTACCACTTGTTTTCATGTCTGTTTTGGTGCCAATACTATCCTGATTTTGTTATTATAGCTCTGTAGTATAATTTAAAGTCTGGTATTGTGATGCCTGCTGTGTCACTTTTGTCACTAAGGATTTCTTTGGCTATCCTGGGCCTGTTATTTTTCAAAATGAATTTCATGACTGCTTTCTGCTTTTTCTATTTCAATGCAGAATACTGTTGGAATTTTTTTTTTTTTTTGTGTGTGTGTGTGTGTACTGTGTACTAGGGATTGAACTCAGGGGCACTCAGCCACTGAGTTCATTCCCAGCCCTATTTTGAATTTTATTTGGAGACAGGGTCTCCCTAAGTTGCTTTGTGCCTTGCTCTTGCTGTTGCTGAGGCTGACTTTGAACTTATGATCCTCCTGTTTCAGCCTCCTGAGTTGCTGGGATTATAGGCATGTACCACGGCACCTGGATATTGATGGAATTTTAATAGGAATTGCATTAAATCTGTAAAGTATTTTTGGTAGTATGGCCATCAGGACAATATAATTCTGCCTATAAAAGGACATGTGAGATCTTCCATCTTCTAAGGTCTTCTTCAATTTCTTTCTTTAGTATTCTGTAGTTTTCATTGTAGAGTTCTTTCACTTCTTTAGTTAGATTGATTCCCAAATATTTTCTTTGCAGGTATTGTGAATGGGATAGTTTCCTTAATTTTTCTTTCAGTTGATTCACCACTGCTGTATAGCAATGCAATTGATTTATGGATGTTAATTTTGTATCCTGCTACTTTGCTGAATTAATTTATGAATTTTAGAAGTTTTCTAGTGGAGTTTCTTTGGGCTTATAAATATAGAATCATGTTGTCAACAAGTAGGAATAGTTTGAGTTTTTCTTTTCCTATTTGCATCCCTTTAATGTATTCTGTCTAACTGCTCTGGCTGGAGTTTCCATGACTATGTTGAATACAAGGGCTGAAAGAGGGCAGCCCTGTCTTGTTTCAGTTTTTGGAGGGAATGTTTTTATTTTTTCTCCATTTAGAATGATGTTGGCCTTGGATTTAGCATATATAGCTTTTACAATGTTGAGGTGTATTCCTACTATCTCTAGTTTTTCTAGTGTTTTGAACATGAATGGATGCTGTATTTTGTCAAATGCTTTTTCTGCATCTATTGAGGTAATCATGGGATTCTTATCCTTAAGTCTATTGACATTATGAATTACGTTTATTGGTTTCTGTATGTTGAAACAACCTTGCATCACTGGGATAAACCTCACTTGATCATGGTGCACTATCTTTTAAACATGTTTTTGTATGCAATTTTGCAGGATTTTATTAAGAATTTTTGCATCTATGTTCATCAGAGATATTGGTCTGAAATCTTCTTTCCTTAATGTGTCTTTGTCTGGATTTTGTATCATTTTGTAATTTTTTTATATTAGCCTCATATAATGAGTTTGTAAGGGTTCTGACCTTTTCCATTTCATGGAATAATTTGAAGGTCTGGTAGAACTCAATTGAAGTCCTGGGCTTTTCTTTGTTGGTATGCTTTTGATGGTATCTTAAATATCATTACTTGAAAGTGATCTGTAAATTGTGTATGTCTTCCTGATAAATTTGGGTAGGTCATATTTCTCTAGAAGTTTGTCTTCAAGATTTTCTATTTTATTAGAGTATAAATTTTCAAACTAGGTTCTGATCATTATCTGTATTTCAGTAGTGTCTGTTGTGATAGTTGCCTTTTAACTGTAAATTTTAGTAGTTAGGGTTTTTTATATCTCTTCATTAACTTGGTTAAGGGATTATCAATTTTATTTATTTTTTCAAAGAACCAACTTTTTGTTTTGTTGATTTTTTTTGTATTATTTTTGTTTTCATTTCATTGATTTCAGCTCTGATTTTAATTATTTCCTGTCTTCTATTGCTTTTGGAGTTCATTTGTTCTTTTTTTAGGGCTTTGAGATGTAATGTTAGGTTTTGTGTTGTTGACTTTGTATTCTTTTAATGAATAAGCTAAATGCAATGAATGTTCTTCCTGACACAGCCTTCGTACTGTGATTTTGATATGTTGCATTACTATTCTCATTTACTTTTAAGTATTTTTTTAATTTAATTTCTGATTTCTTCTGCTATATATTTGTCAGACATATATACAATAGTGTATTATTTAGTTTCTAGGTGTTAGAGTAGCTTCTGTTTTATTTTATCATTGATTTCAAATTTCATTCCATTATGATCTGATGGGATGGAAGGTATTATCTTTCTTGTTTTGTATTTGCTAGGAGTTGCTTTGTGGCCTAAGATATGGTCTGTTTTAGAGAGGGATCCATGTGCTGCTGAGAAGAAAGTGTATTCAGTCATTGATGAATAAAATATTCTATATTTCTCTGTTAAATCTAAATTATCATTTTTTTTTAGTTCTATAGCTTCTTTAGTTTTTGCTTGGAGGATCTATACAGTAGTGATAAAGGTGTGTTAAAGTCTCTCAGTATTATTCTGTGTGGTCTATTTGCTTTTTGAAATTGAGAAGTTTCTTTTTTTGATATATGTAGATGCTCCATTTTTTAGGGCATAGATATTTAGGATTATTATGTCTTATTAATGTATATTTCCCTTAAGCAATATGAAATTTCCTTCTTTTTCCCTTATTATTAACTTTGGTTTGAAGTCCACTTTATCTGATATGAGGATAGAAACCCCTGCTTGTTTACAAGATCCATGTGAATGACATGTTTTTCCATCCTTTTTTTTCAGTCTATGGATGTCTGCCTATGAGATGAATCTCTTGGAGAAAGCATTGTTTTTTAATTGAATCTGCCAGTCTATGTCTTTTGATTGATGAGTTTAGTCCATTTACATTCAATGTTATTATTGAGATATGATTTTTATTCCCTGTCATTTTGATATGTTACTGGTTTTTAATTTGAATTTATTTCTTCATTGATTCACTCTTCTTTTAGTGTAGTTCCTGATCAAACATTCTAGTCTTCAAAAAAAGAAAGAAAAAGATCCATGAAAAACAACTGTCTTAAAAAATGCTAGAAATGAGAAAAAAACAAATATGAATATGTATAAATGTCCATGTACCATTAAGGTCAGAATTAAACAGAGAAAAGAAAAAGAATCTTGATGAAAAGTTAAAGAATTCTTTCCTTTGGAATTCAAAAATTCTCAGCTTCTCTTCTTAGCAGTTTCAGGTGGGGTCATCTGGAGCATGATGCTCCATTCTCTGGATTACTGGAGTGGGAGAGGTAATCCCATAGATGGAATTCCTGGAGGCAGGGTTTAGGCTTAGGTGGGCTGTAGGCTCTTTGATGAATGCCAATTAGTCTGGAGATTTTAAATCTGGACACCTCCAGGGCCCAGTAATTGCTGGTCCACACTGGAAGACCATAACCTAGGGATCTCCCCTGAGTTCTACTTGTGTGGTGGGGGACCCATTTCTTAGTCCCCTACATCTTCTGTGAACCCCACATTTCCTGGTCTTGGATTCAGTCTCCAACTCAATCTCTCCGGCCTCCACACTTCTGAATTCCTGGCCAGACAAGCCTCTCCCAGCTGTCTTATAAGCAGCTGAATTGGAGGAGGAGGGGTATAGGTGGGTGGGATTCCATGATCATTTGTTCCCCATTAAACCT